CCCCGTGTACCTGCAATATATTTTTTATTTTTCCATTGTTTTTAGTGCTTTTAACAGCTAAATAAAGCCACCATGGGCCCCCAAGAAAGCTTCTAGTGCCAACCCTGTGGTAAAAAGGGGGAAATTAAATGGAATTGAAGAAAGATAATTGAAAAAATATGAAAGTGGAGTGCATATGTCCGAGTTGGAAAGGCTATATAACAAACCCCATTCAACCATCACTACTATCTTGGTGAGCAGAAAGGCAATAAAGGAAGCTGTTTTTTGCAAAAGGTGAAAGTATGTTTTCAAAATGGAAATCAAAAATAATTGAAGAGGGGAGAAATGAGGGTGGGTAGGGGGAATAAACGAAAAAAAAATTATCAAGGTTTGTGTGCCCTCAGTCAATAATATGTGAAAAGGAAAGGGGCGGGTTGCATGGGTTCTCTTTAAGAAAATCCCTCCAAATAGTGCTGTGCTGTTTAAAATTTAAAGGGCCCCAGAAAAAGGGGTTTGAGAGTTTTAAAGGGAATCGTAGTGGAAAAAACCCCAATGTGATAAGGTTTGGTGGGGCGGGCCATTTTCAGAAAAAAAAAAGGGGCCCAAAAAAATTTATTTTTGCGGATTTTAAGGAATATATGGGGCCCTTTAAAAAACCCCAACAAGTGTTTGTGCCCAAAAACAGGCCTTTTTTGGAAGAAAAAGGCCCAAACAGGACCTTTTTTTACTCTGGGGGGAAAGGCCACCCAGGAGGAAAAGGCACCCCCAGGAGGAAAAGGCACCCCCGGGGACACAAGCCTATGAAAGACGGGGTTTAACGTTAATTTTTTTTGTAGTAATGCTAGGGGGGATTGAAAAAGTGAAGCCTTTAGGGGGTCTATCACTTTTGAAACTCCAGTGTGTTCAAGAAAAAACAATACCCAAGGGTAATTTGTGTTTTGTTGTGGGAGCAAACAGAGGCGGGGGCACTAGGGAAATTTTCCGGAGGGGTTTTAAGGGGTTTTGTTTGGCCCCACTGTGAAAAATTTTTCTCCGGGAAAAAGAAATTGTCCTCAATTTGGCCCCCGGGTTTAATGGCCCAATGCTCCTGCCTTTCTAAATGGTTGGCAAGCAAATTGCAGGGGGGTATAGCTTCATAAAATGAATTTTTTCCCCCCCTAATCCCCACCCCTTAAATCCAGCCCATGGACCAGAGGGCATTTCAAATTTTTAAAAAACCCGTTTCACCCCAAAACCCGGGTTTCAAAAGTGCTTTAAAGTGACCTCAGACACTGAAATTTAACCCCAAGGGGTTTGGAAAAATTTATTTCAGTATCCTCCCGGGTTTACAAAAACCCTTTCAGGAGGCTTGGGGGGGGTGTTTCCAGGACTTTGAACCTGTTTAGAGAAAATTTTTGGCCAGAATGGGTAAAGAGGGGGGATTCTGAAGGGTTTTGGGGCTGACCCTGAGGAGCCTGTGCCAGTTGTGGAATTTACTGTGTCTTTGGGTAAGTCGATGGGGTGGAGGTTAGTGGCAAGGATGTGGAAGAGTTGGTGGAGGATGACGATGAAGAACTAACCACTACAGAGCTGCAAGAGCTTCAAGTACAACAGGAACAGATCACAGCTCAGAAATGTGCTTCAGAGCAGGAAGAAGAGAGACGGAGGAAGTTGTCTTCGTCAAGGATTAAGAAAATGTGTAAAATGTTTACAAAGGGTTTGCAAGCATTTATGGATGAATTTTTTCCTGTCACAGCTGTTGCAAGCCGTATTGGCAACATGTACAATGATACTCTTGTGTCCCATTTTAGGGAAATCCTAAGGGCACATGAGAAACAGAGCTCTCTGGACAGATATTTTGTGTGACGGGTCCAGTGACTCAAGCTGGTCCTAGCGGCATTAAAAAACAAAGAAGGGAGGTAACCCCAGCAAAGGACTTGGTACCTTTAGTCTTTATGGAAGGGGATTCCCCTTCCAAACAATAGAGCACCTGAATTTCCCCTGCTGCTGGCACATCACTCATCAACAACTCCATAATAAAGGTAAGTGGAAATAAATTATTGTTTATTTTGAATGTACCATTTGTTTCTGTGTAGGGAAATGTATATTTCATGTAAAAAAATTATTTTGTTTAATACTTTTGGGGGTCTGGAATGGATTAATCCTATTTCCATTATTTCTTATGGAGAAAATTAATTCGACTAGCGTCTAATTCGGATTAAACGGATTAAAGCCTTTGATTAGGGTCCACTGTATTGTATTTTATATGGAAAATTTTTCTGAATTTACATTAATACATGCACAGTGGTCCTCAATAATCATACGGACTGAAAGTCGTCCATTTCGGAAATAGTCCGTTATTTCGTCTAAACATTGGCTCGCAAATGGTCCGTTAACTCGCTAATCGTCCTTCGTCCAGGACGCGTACTCACGCTCTGAGCCACCTGGGCCTGCCTTCCCAGCCAGTGTGCCATTGTTTACTAGTGAGCGACGATCCCCTCACATGCTCCTACAAAATATTTCATGATATTCCAATGATTTTAGTGCTTGCAAGTGCTAAATAAGCTACCATGGCTCCAAAGAAAGCTTCTAGTGCCAGCCCTTTGGTAAAGAAGAATGTGAGAAACACACATATTTATGAAAATGTTCGTAGAAAAATACTAAGGTGGTGGTGGTGGGTAGAGTGGACGCAGTTGTGATAGTGGGTGATGGTGGTAGAAGGTGTAATGATGGTGGTAACAGTTGTAGTGGTAGTAGGTTCAGAGTGATAGTGGTAGTGGGTTCCTTCTTTAGTGATTCAGTGATTCTACCAACTCTCCAATGTTGTTGGAGTTACATAGGGTACAGAAAACCCACTGCTCAGCGCGGCCTCACCCCAATATGGATGGCTACTCTCAGGGGCCCTGTATATACCCAACAACAACACATACACAACAACCTCTCCGTGACATATGTAATGACTTATTGTATTCATGCTAGAGGTATATTCCATGTTTCTATGTTATTAATATTGGTTAATTGTGTAATATTAGTTGAATTGTGTTAGATAAATAAGCCGTAGAGTGATTATTAGTGTCATATTTTCCCATCAATAAACTTGCCAGCCCTCCCTCACACAAAACAAGTCTCAATAAGAACATAAGGAAAAGAGGGAACTCTGCAGTACCAAGGCTGTGGCCCATACTAGGCCCGGTCCTTCACAAATCCCTTCCCACTAACAGAACAATTGCTTCCCAAGCAACAAGTCAGGTGCAGTCTGAACTCATCAACCTCTCTTCACTCGTGTATTTATCCAACCTAAATTTGAATACTACCCAAGCCATAGCTTTTAGAACATAAGAAAGGAGGAACACTGGCAATAAGCCTGTTGGCCCATTTAGGACCCTGTCCTTCACATATCCAACCACTAACGAATAAATGGCTAGCCCATGCAATAAGCTCAGGTGCAAGTCCAACTCAAATCCAACCCTCTCACTCATGTATTTATCTCCTAACCCTAAAATTTGCATTACTACCCAATGTGTTAGCTTCATTCACCCTATAGGCGACGTTACTCATCATCTACCCCCATTTTACCAATGTTCATTTATACATTTTATTAGTTCTTTACATTTTTTTGGCATTTTTTCTGCATGTAAATCAAATTTTTAAAGCTAGGGAAGTGACCCCTAAAGTGACCTCGAGTCCTTATGGAGGGGGGATTTATCTTCCAAACAATAACCTCTTTTCCCCTTTCTCTCCTCCCTGTCTTCCATTCATCAACAACAGCCTTCAATAAAGGTAACTGTCATTTTGAATGTTAATTCTTTTGTGCATGTAAATCTATCTTTAGGTAAAAAAAAAAAATTTTTGGGTTGATACTTCGGGTTTGTCTGGAACGAATTAATTGGATTTACATTATTTTTATGGGAAAAATTGATTCGAAATCGTCTATTTCGATAATATTTCCACTTCCAGGAACGGATTAAGGACGATAATTGAGGGCCACTGGTACATGTATTTATGTTACAAAATTATCAATTATATTTTTCTTAATATTTAGCATTAAAATGCATTAAAAAAGTTAATATTGCCACGGAAAGAAAAAAATTCCAAAAATTTGCAGGGACTTCCGCGAAAAATTATTAGTTAGGTTTAAGGAAAAATCTGCAAATTTATGAACCCACGAATTCACGGGGGTCCACGTATACGTAAGCCCCCCATATCTGCGAGGGATACGTTCCCAAGGCCCTGCTATGGATACCTAAATACCTAAACGTGGATACCAAATCAGTGGATACTGGGGTTTACTGTCCCTTGTAAGAGACATCACTTTGGTTAGAAAGGCAATATTACGGACTGATAACTATAAGACGCACACAAGAAAGAAAAAGTGTTATAAGGAATGTATGCAAATGTTTGCAAGATTTATCTATCATCTTTTGTGCTCACAAGACAGAAAGATCAGTAATCTTGCAAGAGTGGAAAAAAATTTAAACAAATTTCCATTTCACATTCATCACCAGGACAGCAGTTACCTCCCTGGACAATTGTCTACCTACCTACTACCTTTACCAATTACAGTAGGACATGGGAATATATATTTATTCTCCATCTCTTGGATTGTAATGTAAGTAGTTTTAAATGTAACAATGTTTAAATAAATTGAAGGTGTTTCTAATGTGTACGGGAAATAAATCCATAAATTGCAGAAATATAAAAAAAATGTGCCCCTTTGAGCTTGGTACGAGGGAGGCTCTGTAATGAGGAAAATTATTTTCAAGCTCAGACCTGGTAAAAAACATCCCTAAGCCTCTATCTCCAACAAAAAACCCCAAACAATAAAAAAAAACATCTTTCAGAGTGAATGTTATTTTGCAGTGATACATCATATTGGTGTAATATATGTGATGTGGCACTGTGCATCCATTCATGTTTCATGGACATAACACCCTAAAACACTCGTAATATGATAGACAATTGTAATAGTGTATGTACTTATCTAACTGCAATTGAAAAAACTATGAAATGATATAAATATTTTTATGCCATGAGAGGTCTGTTTAACTCTGAAACACAGCAAACTTCAATCACTTTAATGTCATTATATTTTACTAATCTTTTAGTACACTCAATCTTTTCAGTTTTACTAATCTTTCAGTACAGTAATTCTACTCACTTTGGGTGTCCTATAATCCTATAAGATTTTTAAAATAAACAAAACTGTCTAAGCGGACACCTATAATCCTATAAGTTTTAAAAAAAAAAAAAAAAATAAGGCAGGGCAGTCTCAGTTTTTCTTATGCAGTTTAAGGAATACTGGGGGAAAGGTATTTAAAAAAAAAAATTTATCTGTCCTTTGTGGATGTTATCAAAATAATACTTCCTCTGTCGGGACACAATGGGGAAAAAATTACAATTACCTACTAAAGATTACAATTACTTAGCTTTAATGCAATAAAATTACGAACTTTGTTTTATATGTTCTTTCACTGCATACTATTAAAAGTTAAGAGAAAAATACCCAAAAGTGAAAGGGAAATGAATTGGTAAGCATTTACACTAATACTTATTGCTTTATCTTCAATCCACAATTAATCAAAAATTTTTAATTACTGTATTCATTAATTTTTTTTGCGTTTAAGGGGAAATAAAAAGAAATGCTTAGCTTGATATAACTCAAAGTTACAAAAAAAAAAAAGAGAAAAAAAAAAAAGAATTATATACTGTATTTTACAAGCAGTTTTCAGTAGTTTAACCCTTTTAGGGTCAGTGCCGTATTTGGGTACAGCACGAGAGCTAGGGTTGGTGCCACATTGTATGCGTAAATTTAGTGCCTTCAAATTGGTGGAAGAAAGTGGTAGGCCTACATATGAAAGAAAGGGTCTGCATGGTCAGTATGCGCAGTATAAAAAAAAAAATCCCACAGCACGCAGTGCATGAGGAAAAAAACTCCAACCATGTTTTTGGTTTAAAACATCGACTTTGCAATGTATTTTTGTATGGCAAGGTCTCCCTCAACATTCGCGAGGGTTAGGGGATAAAGAGCCTCGCGAATGTTGAAAAACCGTGAATGTTTGGTGCCCCATTATATTGTAGGGAAATTTTAATACAATACTGCTTCTTTAACTTGTTAAACCCCATGAAACAATCATAAATACATGAAAACGTCATAAATTGTACTAAATATATACATTTTTATGTTTTAAATAACATGTATGTTATTACCCTTTCAGGGTCCAAGGCCAAAATCTGAAGTCACGCACCAGTGTCCAAAAAAATTTTGAAAAAAAAAAAAAAAAATTTTTTTTTTCTTACAGAATTAAGAGCATATTTTTGTGAAGGTAATAAAACAAAAAATATTAGAATCTGATCATTACTTACCGAGATACAGTGCCAAGAATTTTTATAGAAAATGATGTGGTGGCGGAAACATCGACGAATTCCACATACGCGTATTATATTATTTTGTTGTTTTAGTTGTTTTTTTTTTCTTTTCCAATTTTTTTCAAATTCCCTACTAACATTTGGGGCCTGAAGAGACCAATACGTATATAATTGAAAATATTATACTCACTGTTTTGAACACAATAACCGCACTAAAGTTATTATCATATTATTGTTTACCACTGTTGTTTTTACATAAACGTGCACAAATATTGTATAATACTAATGTTCTATCATATATTTACTTATTTACAATCACGGGGACATGGTTTTAGAACTGCTGGAGCTTGTGGAACTCCTTAAAAACAAGGCACCATGCACAGAGGCACCTCATTCCTCACACATAAACCGAGTGTCTTTGCATCTTTGTTGCCGTCGTTTTGTTTGTTGCACAGACAATGCATCTCTTCTGAGAAATTTTTTTGAGTTGAAGAAAGCTGTATTATGAAATGATCACCTCTCCTCAAACGCTTGGGTATATTGTGATGAATTCGAGGACCATGTTGTATTGAGGTGTTGTTACCTGGTACTTCATTATGAGTTGTCTGACAACAGACAAACAAAATTCATCATACGGTGGTCTGTTACCAGTCTTTATTTGGTACATTTATATGCATTCAGCATTGAAATGTCCATGAGATGGAAGAAAGTTTCATGTACACTTGTAACTCTTACGAACACAGTCAACAAACCCAATCTGCATGTCACACTTGTCAACAAGCGCATGTTTTGTGTATAATCAATCACTGACACTGGTTTTCGAATACGTTCATTAGTCACTCGATCAACTTTCCCACTGTCTTGCTTTTTCATTACGGTGAATGGTTGTCAACAATGTGGACATCTCGTTTTCATGCCACCGTAATGCCATGATGTCATTGGCAGTAAACACCTGAAACCGTACACCACGAACACCTGCGTTGAGCCTGGGCATATGTTTACGATTAAAAACGCACGGGTGCCACACACATCTGTCTTGTTCACTCGCATGAAATCATGAGTAATGGGCTTGTGTACCGTTATCGGAAATATAATGTATGGCCCTTACCAAGATAAGGGCCATCATGTTTCTCACTACGTCACCTGAGATCCCCAATAACATCTTGGTATCTTTCAATGTTTTACTACCCGTGTATACAAAAATACCCAAAACACCAGGCCACTGTCACAATCACAGAGTACAAACAATTTTATACCGAAGCGGTTCCTCTTGCTCGGTATATACTGCTTGAATGACAGTCTCCCTTTGAACAAAATAAAAGACTCATCAATTACAAGATTCTTGAATGGATAAAAGTATATCTTAAAACTTTTGTTTGAGATACATAAAAAACATTTCTAATCTTGTTAACCTGTCACTTCGGGTCAGGCCGGGGTTTTGTCAGAGAAGTGCAACATACGAAACAGTAAGAAAAAACCCTGTTCACGGGCCCATTATTTCACTGAAGGAATGGGGTACAAATTAGCCGATCTGTGGACCAGTTATGCTTTTATATTATGCTTATAGACGTGAGGCATAAGCATTATTGTTGCAAAAAAGCAAATACATTTCTGCAACAGTCGTCTCTTTCCACCTGTTTAGTCTTGACTGTGGTGATAAGATGTATTTGCCATGGTGTACTGAAAAATACTTATTTCTTTCCCTGACAATAATTTCCATCAATGGTGGTCAAAGAATAATTCAAAAAATTCCAGTTCATTGGCCGTGTTCCAAGGGGACAGGTAGGTAGAATTCCACTTTGAGAGTCATAAAAGTGGTGAGGGCTGGGAACAAAAATTGGGATTTTGCTGCCAATCCCAGATACGGTTTGCTGGTGGATACTGGACATCATAGGCTGGTTGTACGGGTGGTTGCGGCGGGCTGGTGGGTGACGCTCCACTTTGTCCTTGAACTGACGAGTCAGCAGCGTGGGTCCCCGCGTGGCACAGTGAGTCACGCATGGCGGTGCCACTCCCACCACCAGCACCACTAAACCCCCATCCATGATGCCTGTGGCCCATCCATGCCAAGTGTGCCACATCATCCTCATTTATCACTACCTAAAACGGGTGTAGGGCCACGGGAGGGTACCCCGGGGTGAAATCCGGGTGTTACTCCGGGATGTACTCCGGGATGCACTCCGCCCCCTGGGGACAGCATAGGGTACACTACCCGAGCGCATGCGGCGGCGAACATACCGACGCTTCACTGGTGAATATGTTTCCCCCACTATCATACTCGAATGATGTCGAGCGCAATAAAATCACAATCCACGTCAGAATCATCGTCATTACTGAAGTAGAGGCCTGGCACGGGAAAATATTAGTTTTCTCTTACATTTAGGAACACCCCACCGTGAGTACGAGTGCCCACACCAGAGGTAGAAGGTCGAGGATCGTCGGGGTTTTTCTGGCACTATTATCGATATCCTGTCATTATTTTTCGGTCACTAATTATCAAAGCCGTAGAATTCGTCTTCATTTCCACTTCCATCAGTGTCAGAACTATCAGACAGGAAGAGGAGAGTCCCAATTTTCCGGGGAGTGAGAGCTGACTTGCGACGAGGCATGGTGAACAAGGGTAAGAGCCGGCGTTCCCACAATGCTATGCCAGGTGCCTAGTTTTTTTTTTTACGGCGCACAACCCACGGCGCCCGACCCATTCCCCTCACATGTAGGCCTATGAGCGCTTTCGCGCTAAATTTGACGGCGCTAGAATTTTGGCGTAGATCTACGGTTTGGACCTCACCGAAAGCCGTAGAACTACGGGACGTACCCCGAAAGGGTTAAATACCACAGACTCCACACAGACTCCACCATTGCCTCCACCACTGCTCCACCACTGCCTCCACCATGCCTCCACCATTTCCTCCACCAATGCCTCCACCACTTCCTCAACCACTGTGAGTCCTACTACCCTCCCTCCGACCCCCGCAAACTGGCAGCCAGCCCTCCCACCACTCGTGTGGTGAGTGTTTGTTTGTTCATTATTTGCTATTAAAATACAGTATAAATAATGTAAACCCATTCTGACTGCATATTGGAATGGCTATTTGGAAGGTATTAGACAGTGAATCATCTGTTTTCTCTTGAGCACAGCAAAGAATCGAACATTTCGTTTTGCTAATAATAAAATAGTAATAATAATAATAATAATAATAATAATAAAATAAATACAATATAACTGAAGAAGGAAATTGTACAAAAATACGAGGGAGTGGTTGACACATCGTCAGGGGACTTGTTTATGCTGGAGTGGAGCATTAATCTCCATGCCCCTTCCAAACATTTCACAATAATTCAGCGTTGAGGCAGTGGTATTTAAAAACATTATATGTTATAAATAATAATAGTACATGTTTATTATAACAACATGTATTATTATTATTATTTTATTAACATGTATGTTATTAATTACCATTGCCTCAACCGCTGGCCTCAACCGCTGCCTCAATTGCTGCCTCAATCGCTGCCTCAAAAGCTGCCATCAACCTCTGCCTTTAATCGCTGCCTCAGTCGCTGCCTCAGTCGCTGCCCTCGTCGCTGCCCCAGTCGCTGCCTCAATCGCTGCCTCAACCGCTGCCTCAACCCCTGCCTCAAACCGCTGCCTCAACCGCTGCCTCAATCGCTGCCCCTTTAACCACTGCCTCAATCGCTGCCTCAACCGCTGCCTCAATTGCTGCCTCAATCGCTGCCTCAATCGCTGCCTCAACAGCTGCCTCAATCGCTGCCTCAATCGCTGCCTCAACCTCTGCCTCAACCTCTGCCTCAACCGCTGCCTCAATCGCTGCCTCAACAGCTGCCATCAACCACTGCCTCAATCGCTGCCTCAGTCGCTGCCTCAGTCGCTGCCTCAGTCGCTGCCTCAATCGCTGCCTCAATCGCTGCCTCAATCGCTGCCTCAACCGCTGCCTCAACTGCTGCCTCAACTGCTGCCTCAATCGCTGCGTCAACAGCTGCCTCAACCACTGCCTCAATCGCTGCCTCAACTGCTGCCTCAACAGCTGCCTCAATTGCTGCCTCAATCGCTGCCTCAATCGCTGCCTCAATCGCTGCCTCAACAGCTGCCTCAACAGCTGCCTCAACCGCTGCCTCAACCGCTGCCTCAATCGCTGCCTCAATCGCTGCCTCAATCGCTGCCTCAACAGCTGCCTCAACCGCTGCCTCAACCGCTGCCTCAACCGCTGCCTCAACCGCTGCCTCAATCGCTGCCTCAATCGCTGCCTCAACCGCTGCCTCAATCGCTGCCTCAACAGCTGCCTCAATCGCTGCCTCAACCGCTGCCTCAACCGCTGCCTCAACCGCTGCCTCAACAGCTGCCTCAACCACTGCCTCAATCGCTGCCTCAATCGCTGCCTCAACCACTGCCTCAATCGCTGCCTCAATCGCTGCCTCAACAGCTGCCTCAACCACTGCCTCAACCGCTGCCTCAACCGCTGCCTCAACCGCTGCCTCAACCGCTGCCTCAACCGCTGCCTCAACCGCTGCCTCAACCGCTGCCTCAATTGCTGCCTCAACAGCTGCCTCAATCGCTGCCTCAACCGCTGCCTCAACTGCTGCCTCAATCACTGCCTCAACAGCTGCCTCAACCACTGCCTCAATCGCTGCCTCAACCACTGCCTCAACCACTGCCACTACCACTCCAGTCACACTCAATCTACAAGCACCAAACACAATGAATTATTGTGAAATGTTTGGAAGAGCACAGAGACTAATGCTCACTCCAGCATAAACAAAGCCATACTCCCTCATATTTTTGTACAATTTCCTTCTTCAATTATATCGTATTTTATTATTATTATTTTATTATTATTTTTATTAATTATTTTATTATTTTTTATTAATTATTAGTATTATTATTACTACTACTATTGTTATTATTAGCTGTAGCAGAAATGTTTTGTTCTTTGCTGTGTTCCAAGAGTAAACACTTTATGTCACCGTCTAATACCTGTTCGAATAGCCATTCAATATGGAGTCATGAATGGGTTTAATTATTTATACTGTAGTTTTAAAAGCAAATAATGAACAAAAAAAAACACTCACCACACTGAGTGGTTTGGGGGGGCTGGCTGCCAGTTGCGGGGGTCGGAGGGAGGGTGTAGGGACTCGCAGGGGGGGGGCGGGAAAACTTAAATATGATTTGGGCTGGGAATTTGGTGGTGGGAATTGCGGCGGGGAATTCTCAAATGGTGAAGCCGTTGAAAGTTGGAAAAAAGTGAATGTTTAGGGAGACCTGTATTTGTGGATGTGCAGTGGTACCCCAAATTTCGGCCATAATTCATTCAGAAGGCTGTTCAAGTGCCGTTACCCCAATGAATTTGTTACCAAAAAAAACACTTACAAAACACTTACAATAATACACTTACATACATGAGTTGGGAGCTGTAGAAATTGAGGTACCACTATATTCTCATTTCTTGATCCATTTGATAGAATGGAAGATATATTACAGAAATCGAGATGATTTTGATTGGTTTCATGATGAAAAGTACTACCCTGAAATTGAGCTCAAAGTAGCGGAAAAAGTTCAATTTTGCCGAAAGTTCGAGCATAAACAAAAACATGCCACGTGTCCAATACAATGACTTCAACTGGTGGGGTATAATGCTCCTTCACAAGTGCGCTGATATTATTTTACCATTTTTACAATAATACAGTAGTCTGCACAACAATAAATCTTCTATTTTTTGAGAATAAAAATTCAAAATAGAAAGCAAGAGTAATATAAGAGAGCCTACAGACATGACTAATGACAGAGAAAATGTTATTTTAGTGCAGGAATGTCTGTCTTGTTTATTCTGGACCTATTTTGAAATTGGCATTTTTTTGAAATTTGTGTGAAATTGGCCAAATTTTCCCAATTTTTGACTACTTCATTGGGTAGGTAAATTGGTAAATAGGCAGTTTCTTGTACTCATTCGATAGAACAAAAGAAGTTATAGTGAAATAGCTTGATTTTAGTCAAAATGGAACATGGAACTGGCCGAAAATTTGGGCTCAAAGTGAGCAAAATCGCTGTGTGGTAAAATCATTTAGACCGCTACCTTCATGAGAGCATAATTCCATTTAATTTTCCATCAAATTTCATACTTTTGGGGTTTTTCATTACCATCGGAGAAAGATCCTCTGTCATTTCATAAGAATTTTTTTTTTTTTTTAATTTTTTTGACCCCGTGAGCGAGTTCAGGATTGGGGGTCTCGACCCTGAAAGGGTTAATAGCTTTACCTGTTGACCATTTATAATTTGTAATCTTTTCTGTCTTCCAAACTTGAGTGCTTGTGCCTTTTCTTTTGCTGAAGCATCAGGATCATGGATAGCCATATGTCTAATGAGGTTTTCCTGTAAAAGATTAAAAACAGCAAACTAAAATTAGCAATTAGTAACTTTTTGGTTAACAATAAAAAAACATACTTATCAAAACCATTAGTTCAAAGACAGTATCTCATTTTGTTGCCAAATGTCTCTACATAATACTTGTCCTTATCATTTTCCCCATTTTCCCCATTCATGAGGTGTGGAGGCATTTACTCAGATAAGGTAAAAGTAATAGTAGAGGGAAAATAGACCAAATATAATGAAGGTGATATACATTCCTTAATACTGCATTTTTACTTAGCATAATTATGGAGCACCAACAATGCTACACTCCAGACTCATCCTTAGCAGTAAACCCCCACCACTTCCAAATCTCAATAATAGCAGATGTTTTGCCCCAAACCCATCATTATGAGAAGAAATGGCTAACTGGTCTTTTTTTTTTTTTAATCACATAAGTATCATCCACCAAAATAAGGTGTCCCAAAAGAGGAATTATTCACTATAATTCATTTAATAACTTTTCTTTCCAGAGGTGCACAGACATCATAATTAAATTTAAACCCTCTGAAATGAAAACATCTCCCAACCCTCTCCTTCAGAGTACAAGCACTGTACAGTGGACACTTGAATTTTGTAATTAATTTGTTCCAGAGAGTCTGACAAAAGGGCAAAATTTACGAATGGAAAAAACCATTTCCCCACATGAAATAATGAAAATCCAATTAATCCGTTCCAGACACCAAAAGTATTAACAAAAAATACGTTTTTACATTAATATAGATTTACATACAGAAAACAATGAAACATCAAGTAAAAAACAATAATAACATCCACTTACCTTAACTGAAGACTCTTGGTGGTGTATGGAAGACAGAAGGAGGGGAAAGGATGGAGAAGTTACACTATTGTTTGGATGGGGAATCTCCTTGCATAAAGACTTTAGGAAGTAACCCCGGATAACCCGGGGTTATTTCCCTTCTTTGTTTTTAAAATGCCACTAAGACTGCTTGAGAGTCACTGGACCCTCATTGCTCAAAAAATTGTTCCAGAGAGCTCTGTTTCTGGCGTCTCTTTAAAATTTGCCTAAAATGGGACAAGACATTGTCAGTGTACATGTTGCCAACATGGCTTGCAACAGCTTTGTCAGGGTTATGTTTCTCCACAAACGTTTGCATCTCACTCCACTTTGCATAAATGTCCTTAATCTTTGAAGACGGCACCTTCTTTCCCTCTCTCTTCCTCCTCCTCTGAGGCAATTTCCTGAGCTGTGGTCTTTGCTGTTGCGATGAAGGGCTTGCAACTCTTCGTGGTTAGATCTTCACTATGGTCCTCCACCAACTCTTCCACATCTGGCCAGTCAAATCCAACCATATGGAATTCCCCCCAAAGCTACAATAGATTCCACAACTGGCAGAGGGTAATCAGGGTCAGCCTCAAACCCTTCAAAATCATTGTCAAGGACACAATCTGGCAACAATTTTCTCTAAGCAGAGTTCAAAGTCCTGCAAATCACTCCCCGCCAAAACTTATCAATAAGGCCTATGCAATGGAGGATACTGAAGTGATCCTTCCAGAACTCTCTTAGGGGTCAACTGAATGTCTGAGGTTACATCAAAGCACCTTTTAAACACCCGCTTTCCTGTAGAGCTTTTTGAAGTTTGAAATAATCTGCTGGTCCATGGGCTGGATGAGAGGAGTGGTATTAGGGGGAAAAAACTTCACTGTGGTGAAACAAATAAACTCCTCCCCTTTTGGCACCCAAAGTCTGGGGGATGAGCGGGAGCACATCCTTCCAGGGGCCTTGAGTGGCAATTTATTTTCCAGTAGGTATTTCTTCCACTGGGGAAACACTCACTGAAAAAATAAAGGGAAAAATTTTCCTTGTGACCCCAATCCCTTTTACTGCTGCCTTCCCATACACACAATTTACCTTGGTGACATGTTTTTCCCTGAACATTTGGGATTTTAAAATTGATGCACCGGGGCTTCATTTTTGAAACCCCCTAGCATTACCACAGAATACAAGTTAGCCGTTTTTCCCTGGGCTTGGTCCTGGCAGTCCCTTTTCTCCTCATGAATAGGCCCTCTTGGTCTTTCTTCAAAAGAGGCCCTGTTTCATCAAACTAAACACTTGTGGAGATGAATCCTTTGGCCTCTACAAGTCCATGAATTCCTGCACTTTTTTTTAGGCGCACATTTGTCAAACTTGCACTCACCATCCCTTCCCACACGTGCAGCCACTACGTTCTTAAATCTTCAAACCGCTTTGCTGGCCTTAAACCCTTTAACATCGTGCTGTTCCGGGCATTTTCTTTGAGATCGGCATGCCTTGCCTTTCACAAATTATCGACTGCATTACACTTTCTCCTGCAAACTGTTTCTGGTTACCCAAAACCCAAATAACAAATTCTAAAACATTTCGAGTATTTGCGATCTCTTTATTGTGAGATATCTCCCCCTTTTCGCAACAAACGCTTCCTTGATTTCCTTTTTTTTGCCATGAGGGGAAAGTGATGATTGTATGGGGGCTTCCCTCATCCGGGCAAGAGGGCCACATTCACGCCCTTTCGTATTTTGCAATGATTTCTTTCTTGAAATTCTATCAGTTTCTCACATTCTTTACCCCAAAGGGTGGCACTAGAAGCTTTCTTTTGGGCCCACGGTGGCTTTTTTGCAGTTGCAAGACAAAAAAAAAAGGAATTTAGAATTCTATCGTTGAATGCATGGGGGTGGTCGCTCACCAAAAAACAAAGCCCCACTAACTGGGAACGGTGTGTGGGGGCCTCATGTGGCAGGGTGCTGGAAGGTCAGTTGACGTGTTCCCGAAACCCATGAATGGGGATGTAAATTATGAAAGTGAGGTATATTTTGATGAAAAAAAAATCTTGAAAAGGGGAAATTAAAAAGAAGTGCGAGGTTAAAAACTCGAGGGCCCCCTGTACTGTACTTTCAACCTCCCGGCTCAAGTCCAGCTAAACCCTTTTCCCCCAATCCCTTAATAAACGCTAATTGCTCACGCCAAATGGGATGCTTTATCCTCATCTGCCTGTCACCCAACTTAATTTCATACTCAGATGTGACTTTGTATTGGTACAAGTTTTACCAAAAGATTTTAAAGTTTCCTGTCCAAACTGTGGGTTTTTGGGGGAATTGCTCCACACGTGTGATGTAACCAGAAGGTTACATCACCAAATTTTTAGTCAAAACATTTGTATTTTGGCATACCAATAGTAAAGACAAAAGTTTTGGCTTTTTTAAGGAACCACAAGCCAAAAACCCTTGACTATCCCCAAAGATAAACTCACAATGTTAAATGGAACAACTAGGTAAAAGTCCCCGAAGATTAGTAGATAGCCCTGTCTCATCTGCTACAAGTTTCCATATACAAGTACAGTACGAATTTTAAACCTGTAAATCCCCGGGAGGCTTGAAATTTTTTAATTCCCCTGCTGTGTGTGGTAAAATTTTAAAAAGTTTCTTACAGCTTGAACGTTTTTTTTATAAATAGAATTACAAAATAAAGTGATATCCAAAGAAAGTTTTTTTTTTATACTCAATTTAAAAAAGGCACTTAACAAACACTTAAAAAAAATTTATCAAGGTTTTTTTTAAACCTTTTTTCACTTCAGTGTCTTTTAGTATGGCTTAAAAACCATTTTTTTGACTGTATTAATACCCAAAATTCTAGCGGAAGAAAGTGGTAGACCACATGTGAGAAAATTTGGGTCTGTGGCGTGTGTGCGAAAAAAAAAAATCCGCAGCATGCGTGCATAAAAAAAAAAAATCCGCCCATGTTTTTTTAAAACGGCAAAATTTGAGGGTACTTTCGCGTTTATTTAGGTTGTTTTTTGTTTTCTTGATCTATTTGTCAGAATTGAAGAATATTATAAAACAAGGTGAGTTATTGGTTTTTTTTGAAAAGGCCTAAAACTGAGCTCAAAGTGGCGAAAATGTTAGTATTTCCCGATTTTCGAGAGCAAAAAAATAGGTCACGTAAAATTATGTCCAATTGGCAATCAAATATGCAGTCTAAAGGGGTTGACTACTAACAATTATTCAATAAGGGTTAGTTGCTAACAAAAATCTTCTATTTTTTGTGTAAAATAAAATTCAAGAGGGAAAACAAGAGTAAATAAAAGAGGCCTGGAGACTGACTAATGAACAGGAAAATGTTATTTTAGTGCAGGGTGTCTGCTTGTTTATTCTGGACCCTATTTTGAAATTGGCATCTTTTGAAAATTTGTGGAAATGGCCAAAATTGCCCAAATTTTTGACCACTTTTTTGATGTTTTAAACAGTAAAAGGGTGGTTTTAACTCACTCGATAGAAAAAAATGGAGTTTTTGCAAAATAGCTACGGTTTGGGCCCATGAAAAATGGAATTGGCCAAAAATAGGGTCAAAGTGGGCCCCATTTTCGACCCAAAGCGTTAAAAACCGCGAGACCGCTAGTTTGTGAAAGCGTTTAAATTTCCCTAAGTTTTCCATCAAATTTTTTTACTTTTGGTCATTCCCCAGAAAAAAATCCCCTCATTTCTAAGAAAAAATCATTTTTTTTTTAAAAGAAAAATTTTTTTTAACACTGAGAGAAATTGTGGCAGGGGTTTGACAGGAAAGGGTTTTAAAAACACCCCCTCTCCCCCCAAGATACTGACCCGCAATGTCACCACCCCCCCATCGAGTGCAGGCACTGTAATTCCCTCCTCAAGAACTAAATCCAGCTAGCTGTTTCCCCTTTAATCCCTTCTAAATTTAACTGTTAATTAACCATAAAAAACCTTTTCTAAAATAGATGTAAAGGCCAGATTAAGATTATGTAGGCCCTGGGCTACAGGTATGTGAGGCCCCCCCTGATATTTCAAAACGCAAAAAGTTTAAGAAAAATTGACCCTTGAGCCATTTTTTTGGGCCCAATTCCATTGTTCCAGTCGACCAAACTCATAGCTATTTCGCTAGAACTCTATTTGTTTTATCGACTGAGTACAAGAAACCACCCATTTATCAATTTCAACTACCTAATATAGTCAGAAATTGGCAATTTGGCCAATTTCACACAAATTTCAAAAGATGCCAAGTTCAAAATAGGGTCCAAAATAAACAATGCACACATTTCTGGCACTAAAATAAAATTTTCTCTGTTCATTAGCCACGTCTCCAAGCCCCTTTTATATTACTCTTGCTTTCCATTTTGAATTTTTATTCACACAAAAAAATAGAAAATTTACTGCTATGCAGACTACTGAATTATTGAAATAACTGTATAAATAATGTCAATCCATTCATGACTGCGTATTAGACTTGCCAGTTGGACACATACTGGACAGTAACGTCCTTTGTTTACTCTTGAACATCAGTAAAAATTTAACATTTCCGCTACTTTGAGCTCAATTTCCAGGTACTTTTCATTGTGAAACCAATCAAAACAATCTCTATTTCTGTATTATATCTTCCATTCTATTAAATGAGGGCAAGAAAACAAGAATATAACCATAAATACAATGCGAAAATACACCTCAAATTCAGCGTTTTAATCCAAAAACATGGTTGGAGTTTTTTTTCTCATTATGCACTGTGTGCTGCAGGATTTTTTTTATACGGCGCACACTGACCACGCAGACCCATTCTCTCACATGTAGGTCTATCAACTTTCTCCCACTAGATCTGAAGCCGCTAGAATTTTGGCACATTTATACATCACCAACACTGGCTTGTAAGCTGCATCCATACGTCACCGAGAGTGAAAGGGTTAAACCCTCTTGGTCATCCTATTTTGTTCCATCTTCTAAATCTTTAAGCCACCTCAAACTAAGTTGGGGAAGAAACTAATAAACATAGCAAAACCACAGGAAAAAAAAAAAACCACTATATACCACACCTAATTACAGAAAAAAAAATTATCATCATAATACTCACTAGGAAAAGAAAAAAGTTAACATACAAGTTTTGTACCTTTATGCCTAAATGTCTTGCCACATTCTGGGCACTCTTGTGTTTTTTCTCTGGGCATGGGTGGGATGTATTCTGGATTATGGTATAAGTTTTGGTGCCTTTTCAGCAACTGTTTCTGACGGAATGCCTAATCAAGAAAAACTCCATTAGAAACATGATAAAAATACAAATATGAAAAAATATCTTGTGCTTAAAAACACATATTACTCAAGCTCATAAATAATAATATATTAAAATGAACTATTTAAAAACAAGAGCCCCTGGCAGATGATTATTTATGGTTTAACTTATACACTCAAGAGAATTATGACTTTTAATTAAAGTGAAGACTACTCAAGTTTGCTCACCTGGTCACACTGATCACATTGGTAAGGTTTCTGTTCTGTATGAACAAGCATATGGGACTCTAGATGTCTTGCAGAAGCTGAGGCATAAGGACACAAATCACACTTGAAACACTTTTCCCCTTCATGAGACTTATTGTGTTGTTTGAATGTGTACCTGAAAAAAAAATCTGTGAAAGTCACTAATACACTGGAAATTTAAAATATAAAAATTCTTGTTATGCGTAGCACCCCAAACATATATTTAAGTTTTAATTTTCCTGCCTCCAAAAGTGGCACAATTGGTCTGAGATGCCTTGTCAGCATAGAATGGGTCTTAACACTCGGTGTGCGCAGTATTAAAAAAATCCTGGGACCACTTAGTACCTTGTGGGAGCGCCAGTTAAATTGAGCACCAGCTAGAGCAAACAGTGCGGCAAACACCAAGGATTCACTGATGTAATGTTATATTAACACTCCTCTTTTAAGAGGAAAGTGATGTTAACCCCCCAATTTTAGGGTCTGTCGATCTCTATCTGTCTCTGTTTATCTGTCTCTGTCTGTCTATCTGTGTCTGTCTCTATCTGTCTCTGTCTTTGTCTATCTGTCTCTGTCTATATATTTCAATCTGTCTTTGTCTATCTTCGTCTCACAGGTACACATAAATACAAGTATACATAGTATAAATTACCTAGGATAACTCAAAAATCCAGACAAAGTGCTATACTCTGCTTGAAGATGTGAGTAAATGTGATGATGCAGTCTTGTGGCTCTCTCTGAGACAGACAGCTAGACAGATAGGCAGATAGACAGGGAGCTTGACAGACAGACAAATAGACAAACAGAAATGTTTGTGTACCAGCAAAAACAAAGCAGGGCGATGCTCATCAAATGTCACCTCTAATCTTTTCTTACCAGCTGCACCCTTCCCCACCCTTGTGTATGCTCCTCAAAGGTCAGCCTTATCAGTGTGACTCTTATCAGTCACTTCAGGGGTGGACTTGTTTTTTATGCATCAAGGGAACTTATCTCATCACCACCATCCTCATCTTCTCATCACTTCCCTTCCCCAGCCCTCCCCCCCCTTCTCCCCCCCCCTTTTCCCCCTCCCCTCCTCTCCTCCCCTCCTCTTCCCCCTCCCCCCTCCTCCTCCTCCCCCCTCCCCTCCTCCCCTCCCCTCCTTTTCCCCTCCTCCTCCTCCTTCTCCCCCCTCCTCCTCCTTCTCCCCTCCCCTCCTCCTTCTCCCCCTCCTCCTCCTTCTCCTCTTCTCCTTCTCCTCTTCCTCCTTCTCCTCCTCCTCCTCCTCCTCCTCCTCCTTCTCCTCTTCCTCCTTCTCTTCCTCCTCCTCATTATTATTATATACTTCCACATATACAAAACATTGCTGGGACCTATAAATACTTTGTATATATTCCAAGACAATAGTACATGACCAAGGCAGGTGTAAATGTTCACCTGTCAATGTGTTTGTAACAATTTGAGTACAATTTCAGTACCTAATACTAGTGTCAGAACAAAGATGGTTATGAAATGACAAGAACTACTATAAATTGTAATTATCAGAACATAAAAATTATATCTTACCCTATCTTACCAGTTAGGGTAAGATATAAACAGCTACTGGAGGATAGATGGGCTAATGAGAGCATACGCAATGGGGTCGAAGAGGAATGGGGTAGGTTTAAAAATGTAGTGTTAGAGTGTTCAGCAGAAGTTTGTGGTTACAGGAAAGTGGGTGCAGGAGGGAAGAGGAGCGATTGGTGGAAGGATGATGTAAAGAGAGTAGTAAGGGAGAAAAAGTTAGCATATGAGAAGTTTTTACAAAGTAGAAGTGATGCAAGGAGGGAAGAGTATATGGAGAAAAAGAGGAGGTTAAGAGAGTGGTGAAGCAATGTAAAAAGAGAGCAAATGAGAGAGTGGGTGAGCTGTTATCAACAAATTTTGTTGAAAATAAGAAAAAGTTTTGGAGTGAGATTAACAAGTTAAGGAAGCCTAGAGAAACAAATGGATTTGTCAGTTAAAAATAGGAGAGGAGAGTTATTAAATGGAGAGTTAGAGGTATTGGGAAGATGGAGGGAATATTTTGAGGAATTGTTAAATGTTGATGAAGATAGGGAAGCTGTGATTTCGTGTATAGGGCAAGGAGGAATAACATCTTGTAGGAGTGAGGAAGAGCCAGTTGTGAGTGTGGGGGAAGTTCGTGAGGCAGTAGGTAAAATGAAAGGGGGTAAGGCAGCCGGGATTGATGGGATAAAGATAGAAATGTTAAAAGCAGGTGGGGATATAGTTTTGGAGTGGTTGGTGCAATTATTTAATAAATGTATGGAAGAGGGTAAGGTACCTAGGGATTGGCAGAGAGCATGCATAGTTCCTTTGTATAAAGGCAAAGGGGATAAAAGAGAGTGCAAAAATTATAGGGGGATAAGTCTGTTGAGTGTACCTGGTAAAGTGTATGGTAGAGTTATAATTGAAAGAATTAAGAGTAAGACGGAGAATAGGATAGCAGATGAACAAGGAGGCTTTAGGAAAGGTAGGGGGTGTGTGGACCAGGTGTTTACAGTGAAACATATAAGTGAACAGTATTTAGATAAGGCTAAAGAGGTCTTTGTGGCATTTATGGATTTGGAAAAGGCGTATGACAGGGTGGATAGGGGGGGCAATGTGGCAGATGTTGCAAGTGTATGGTGTAGGAGGTAGGTTACTGAAAGCAGTGAAGAGTTTTTACGAGGATAGTGAGGCTCAAGTTAGAGTATGTAGAAAAGAGGGAAATTTTTTCCCAGTAAAAGTAGGCCTTAGACAAGGATGTGTGATGTCACCGTGGTTGTTTAATATATTTATAGATGGGGTTGTAAGAGAAGTAAATGCGAGGGTCTTGGCAAGAGGCGTGGAGTTAAAAGATAAAGAATCACACACAGGGTGGGAGTTGTCACAGCTGCTCTTTGCTGATGACACTGTGCTCTTGGGAGATTCTGAAGAGAAGCTGCAGAGATTGGTGGATGAATTTGGTAGGGTGTGCAAAAGAAGAAAATTAAAGGTGAATACAGGAAAGAGTAAGGTTATGAGGATAACAAAAAGATTAGGTGATGAAAGATTGAATATCAGATTGGAGGGAGAGAGTATGGAGGAGGTGAACGTATTCAGATATTTGGGAGTGGACGTGTCAGCGGATGGGTCTATGAAAGATGAGGTGAATCATAGAATTGATGAGGGAAAAAAGAGTGAGTGGTGCACTTAGGAGTCTGTGGAGACAGAGAACTTTGTCCTTGGAGGCAAAGAGGGGAATGTATGAGAGTATAGTTTTACCAACGCTCTTATTGGGTGTGAAGCATGGGTGATGAATGTTGCAGCGAGGAGAAGGCTGGAGGCAGTGGAGATGTCATGTCTGAGGGCAATGTGTGGTGTGAATATAATGCAGAGAATTCGTAGTTTGGAAGTTAGGAGGAGGTGCGGGATTACCAAAACTGTTGTCCAGAGGGCTGAGGAAGGGTTGTTGAGGTGGTTCGGACATGTAGAGAGAATGGAGCGAAACAGAATAACTTCAAGAGTGTATCAGTCTGTAGTGGAAGGAAGGCGGGGTAGGGGTCGGCCTAGGAAGGGTTGGAGGGAGGGGGTAAAGGAGGTTTTGTGTGCGAGGGGCTTGGACTTCCAGCAGGCATGCGTGAGCGTGTTTGATAGGAGTGAATGGAGACAAATGGTTTTTAATACTTGACGTGCTGTTGGAGTGTGAGCAAAGTAACATTTATGAAGGGATTCAGGGAAACCGGCAGGCCGGACTTGAGTCCTGGAGATGGGAAGTACAGTGCCTGCACTCTGAAGGAGGGGTGTTAATGTTGCAGTTTAAAAACTGTAGTGTAAAGCACCCTTCTGGCAAGACAGTGATGGAGTGAATGATGGTGAAAGTTTTTCTTTTTCGGGCCACCCTGCCTTGGTGGGAATCGGCCAGTGTGATAATAATAAAAATAAAAATTATATAAAATAATATGAAAAACAGAAAAAAAAAAGGTATATCAGCAACACTTCTGCAAGCAGCACGACTCCATGTTGCCGTCACATGAGCATCCAGTGCCAACTTCTCTGCCTCATATCTCTGTAAGTACCGACTCTAATTTTTTTTTTATTCTAAAACACTTAAAAAAAAAAGTGCTTTCTTTTCTATAAAAAAAAAGTTTTTTTTTTTAATTTTTTTTTTCAAAATATTTGGGGCGCTGCGCCAGTGAACGTATATATACATTTGGACAGTTTAAGGGTAAAGTACCTCAGCACTTCTGAGACTTCCCAAACATACAATATATTATACAAGTTAAACAAAACTATGAAGTGTATAAAATATGTACGTGATTCTCATCTTATACAACAGATGCCTTCCAGTCCCACAGAACACAGTAATAATGAAAACAAATTTAAATAAAAAATAACAAAAATTTTCATCTCAAATGATTTTAACAAAAATATGACAACCCCCAACAGAAACTGCAAAAAAAATATTGATATTTGAGAAAAAAAAAGTACACCAAACATGCACCTGACAGCCAAGTGTACTGTAGAGTAGTTCATGAAATATTTTTGGAAAAAAAAAACAAACAGGTTATCACCTGTCTTGATTCTCTTACAGCACTAATTCACTGATCATATAAGTTTACATCACACAGAACTAATCACTGGTAGGAATAGTCACTGAGGTTGCCTACACAGTACTTACATAAAGCAGAGGAAACCTGATATGAATGACTGTATTGTTAAAATTATGTAAATACCCTTCAAAGATTTAAATGAAAACACTGAAATTATTTTAATCTCCAAAGCTGCTCCGAACAGCAGAAATTTACAGAATCTTATAAAATGTGCATAAAAATATTAAGAGGCCTCACAATTACTTTAACCCTTTGAGGGTTCAAGCTGTAGATCTATGCCTTGTCCACAGGGTCCAAGAATTTTCAAAAAAAAAAATTATTTTTTTTCTTATGAAATGGTAGAGAATCTTTATCTGAAGGTAATAAAACAAAAAGTACGAAATGTGATAGAAAATTGATAAAATTACACTAGCAAATTTTACTGCATCAGCGATATTTAAGCACTGGCGACTTTGCCCACTTTAACTCCTATTTTAGGCCAATTACATCACAGTGGAGCCCCGGTTTTCATCTTTAATTCGTTCCAGTACGTCAGCTGAAAACAGAT